TGCAGGCCATCTGCTTCCCATCCTGCCCCTGGCTGCCTTCCGATTCCAGTTTCCCATCATGCACCTGGCTGCCATCCAATGCCTGTTTCCCATCCTGCACCTGGCTGGCACCTGCTGCATCTTTCCCATCATGCCCCTGTGGTTTCCCATCCTGCTCCTGTGATTTCCCATCATGCCCCTGTGGCTGTTTCCCATCATGCCCCTGTGGCTGTTTCCCATCATGCCCCTGCAGGTGCCTGTGGTACTTGGCCTGCTGGGAGCAGGCGAAGCTGCAGTGGGCGCAGCGGAAGGGCTTGTGCTGCGGCTTGTGCTGCTTCAGCGCCTCGACCGTGGAGAACAACAGGGAGCACTTCAGACAGCCGTACAGCTTCCCGTTGTGCACCTTACGCACGTGCTCCTTAAACACAAACCTGGGGAAACATAAGGAAGCTGATAAGAAAGCTGTACATCTTCTTCAAGAAAAAACCTGAGGAAACAAAAGGAAGTTATGATAATACAGGGAGCACTTCAGGCAGCCGTACAGCTTCCCATTGTGCACCTTACGCACGTGCTCCTTAAACACAAACCTGAGGAAACATAAGGAAGTTATGATAATACAGGGAGCACTTCAGGCAGCCGTACAGCAGGGATACAAGAAAGTTGATCAAGAAGCAACAAGTATTGGTTCTCCTGGGCTACCTGTCTCACAACTGTATCTAGAGTTCTAGACCTATCCAAAACTTGTCACAATCTTCCTTAAGGAAGCACACACAACTACAAAACCAAGAATGTTTATTTACTATTCATAAATCATTCTATATACACAGAGTTTTGAAACCTATCCAGTTGCTTGGGTCACTGTTATCTCTCTATTTTATCACCTGGGTGTCCTCCCTTCAATGACATACACACATAAAAACTAAAGCTGTATGTGTTAAACACAACCTAATTGTCAGAGATAATAAAGAGTTGTACATGTGTATATTGTTCCCACCTAGTCTGAGTAGTGAAGTCGCAGCCCTCCAGTGTGCAGGACAGGAGCAGATCCCCCACCTCTTCCTGCTGCTGACGGGCTCCTACATCCTTCTGGGCACTGTTAGAAACACAAAACACATCATCATACACTAAATAATTCATCATACGTGGAGAATGTTGGACTATAGTCCTATAGCAGATCTCCCACCTCCTCCTGCTGCTGACGGGCTCCCACATCCTTCTGGATACTGGTACAAACACAGGAATATACCAAGATAGCATCCATGGAACACGATTGATAAGTCCTACATCATTATATCTACTGCTAAACTTGTTACACGTGTGGAAAAGTCAAATACTCAAATTAGCCTGATAGAAGTCATGAGGGAAGAGGTAAGGCTCAGACAAAATATAACAACTTACATGACTGAAGTCCTAAAAAATCTGTAAATATAAAGTACCAATAAAGACAGTTTAAGACACAGACATCATCATCATCATCAGTCCCATAGACAAATATCTTCTTAATTTCCAATGTTGGACAGTCAGTAGTACATCTACAGGGACCGGTGTTGATAGCATCCATCTGAAGCCACCTACCTGTGAGTTTGGTCCCTTGTCTCTTCACCCCCATCCTCCTGCCCATCCTCCCCATCTCCCTCCTCCTCCTGCTCCCCAGTTGGTCCATCCTCCACACCAGACAGGGTTCCTCCCGCAGGAAGGTCCAGCTGTCCTGTCTCCTGACCTTCAGAAGACTCCCCCAAGGTCAGACCTGTGAAGGGCTGGTTCTCTGATGAAGACGTGACCTCTTTCACCACGTAAGTCTCCCCCACAGTCATCTCAGACTCCCTACTGAGGTAGGACTTACGAGGAGGGAGGATGACAGCAGACGAGAAGTGACCCAGCTGGGAGTCAGCCCTTGCCCTGGACTGCTGTGCTTCTGCCTGCCCTGCTATGTCTCCAGGATAGGGGCCCCCCTGGGGTCTCTGTTGGTACTGCTGAGGGTTTGTCTCGGGGTTGGTCTCATGCTGCAGTTGCTGAGGGTTTGTAGTATCTGGGTAGGTCTCCTGCCGGAGTTCTTGCACCAGGTCCTGGTGTGTGCCGCCGGCTTCTGTCTGGGGCTGGTAGCCGCAGTCTTGCCTGTCTCTGGGTTCCTCCTGCAGGGTTTGGAAAGACTCTGCGTCCTGCTTGAGTGGGTCCGGTGACCAGCTGTGGTGGCCAGACTGCCTTCCTGTCTCTGCCATTGGCCAGTCTTGGTTGTTGTCTCTGTGGTAGGCCTGGGTTCTTCCCTCCTGAATGAACGAATAACTGGTTTATTTTCAATGATAAAAAAAATCACACAACAGATAAGATGCCATTGCAGCTACAATCACTGAATTGGGGCATAATTCACAATTAACCAGTTATCAACCAAGGATTGAGGTGTTCAAGAATTCATTCTTTCCTAGAGTGGAACTCACTGTCACCAAGTACAGTAGGGGCATTGTCATTAAAAAGCTTTAAACAATGTTTAAAGTTGGATGTTCAAGGGTTAGGTTTAACAAGTCAATTGTGCCTGCGAAGCTGGTGTGTTACACCAAAGGGCGGTTATACTGGCTATACAGATACTGGTGTGTTACACCGAAGGGCGGTTATACTGGCTATACAGATACAGAAGCTGGTGCGTTACGCCAAAGGGCGGTTATACCGGCTATACAGATACAGAAGCTAGTGTGTTATGCCGAAGTGCAGGTAAACCAGCTATACAGATACAGATTTGAATAGAGCCCACCAGCCACTGTGCCCTGCCCTGCTGCCGTGCTAAGTCTTCCTGTGATCGGTAATCGCAATCCTGGTGTGCCGAGGCCGCTACAGGCCAGGGGGTCAGGTCCTGGGCCCCCCCAGGGCCCACCAGAGGCCAGGGGGCTGGCTCGTGGGGGGCGCCGGTCGCTGGTTCTGTCTGGTGGAGCCGGTTCTGGTAGCTGCCGTCATCGATGTGCTCCTTTTCATCCATAGCTTATCTGAAGAATATAATCGTATGGGGACTTATCTACAAGAAAATCCACCACCTTTTGTACATAAAAAAGTACATTTAACTTAAAACAACTACCAACACAGATGAACTTTCATGAATCATGATTATCAGTATTTGGTACAATGGTTAAATTACTTTATTGTATTCAACAGTGGAAAAGAGGCGGAACCATCTAACATACATTGTAGTGTCAAACCGTAATAACATAATGGTACATTTTTTAATAATTTATGATTCAATATTATGACAAGTGACAGAACAAATCTAATACATGAAATGTAACAAAACAGACATGTAACTACCAGTATAATAAAAGTACTGTGAGTGTCCATGTTGTGAGTTAACTGTGAAAATTACACTAGAAATGGGCAAAATTGTTAAATTCATCTATTGACTATGTTTGGGTATGACAGATATAACCAGTCAACTCCCTTTGTCTGGCCCCAAACTTAGACACTGCCTCAGGCGAGATTCCTGACCAGAAAATGTTGTACCTGGCAGTCGGAATGCTATTTATGTCTAGGGAAATTTCTGTAGGTTTTGTCTAACTCTAAGGATAGAGAGTGCCATATGGAAATTTTTCACATAAAAAGCCTTAATTGTTAATACCAGTCACATGTAAAATGAATAAAACTGAGGAATTGAACAATTTTGGTTCAAGATACAGTGCTTTTATTTGGAATCATAATAATTGTTGAGAAAGGCAACAATTTCTTGCAACCATATTCTTCCTAACTCTAGGCCCACACAGCACATAATTCACACAATAATATTTAGCCATTGATTACAATGTAGGCTTAAAAATCATCACAAAAACATTAAAGAACATGTTCAAATCATGAGGACTAATGCAAAGAATGCCCAAGTTTATTGTGAATAAGTTCCAACAATCGTTGTTTACGCAAATTTGTAGAAAAACAAAACCCGCCAAACAAAGAACTACCTTAGGCCGGCCCCCCAGTCTCCTACCCTCACCACAGACAACGTTTAAGGGCACATTTCTCGCCTTTTCAGACGATACTCTGACCAAAACTAGGTCTATTTTCCCGCCAAAACGTAAGGCGATGCCTTCTCCTTGAGACAACACCGGAAACATATGAAATGCTGGCGAAATTTTCACGAGAATTGATTTTAAACAAGACATCTGCTTTGTTGGGCCGCCGCCCTACTGGAGGCCTCCCCAAAATAATACGCTGCACCGTGGATAGAAGGGGCAAAATTGCCCCGGTTCGAACCCCCATATCTTCCTCACAAAAACGCTCCGATTTCCACAAAACACCAAGAAAACAAAGAAACCATTCTTACCGATTGCATTCGAGGGATTTGTCTCAATTTTCCCGGTAAACGGGCCCGAGTTTTGCAGGAATACGGGGAAGAAAGAGCCGAAAATGACATTAAATGTCTCTTCTCGCGGTTTCTCGTGCTGTACGTGAATCCCGCGTGAGTTGGGCGGGGTCAGAGGTCGCGGTGTGGCGGGGACCCAGTGTTGCACGGTTGGCGTGCACGTGAGCGCACGTTTTTGCACGTTTGGGAAAGAAAACAACTTTCAATCGCGATGTGGGTCTTCAGAACTATAGGTACGATCCTTAGCAATCTATAGAAATTCTATGTTACTTTATTCCCGCCTTTTTAGAGGAGAAATACTAGACGAAACCCGGAGGGGAGTGATCGACTTTTTCCTGAGGTCATCAATTTGTGGGAGGGGGGCATTTCTAATGCAAATATATGTACTCAAGTAATACCTAAAATCTTTCGTATGAACAAGGACGTATAATGTCCTTGGTATGAAGAAGATGATATGTGTGGCACGACCAGTGGATTTCTGTTTTCAGTAAATGTAAGAACCTTTACCGTGTTCATTTGTCCATAAAGATGTGTTGCATAACAATTGCGAAATACAATAAACATGTAACAGTACACATCTGTCACTTTCACTTGTATTGTCTACTGCATGATCAGGTGTGATCAATTGTCAAAGCACTTTCATTTTCATGTCCAACCCTACAGGTGTGAGGAGGTGTTCACCAGGTGTGACATCATTAGCCAGGTGTCAATCACTTTCACTTTTATGTTGTACCTACAGGTGTGACTAGGTTAATCACTTTCACTTTCCTGCACTACAGGTGTGACCAGGTGTTCCCCAGGTGTGTCATCGTTCGCCAGGTGTCTCCACACCTGTTCAGCGCTGGAAGCCGTCACCAAAGCCAACCTGTCCAAGCTCCGCAAGAAAACCGGCTTCACGTTCGTCAACTGCAAGAAAGCACTGGAGAAGTTTGAAAATGACTTGGAGCAGGTAACCTGAGTTTGTGTGTGCAAACTTCTCCTAGTTGAATCAATTTTTTTAGGCTATGTTAGTAGCTAAAGTAACTGTGTGGCTACTCATCTTCTAATTCATTATGGGATAAGGCAGTAGGGAGAATGTTAGTCAGAAACAAACTGGTATGAAGTACCAAAGTACATCCACACAGTACTTTAGTAATTGTGCACTGAACTATAGCCTCTTAAGCCTTCTTCTCAAAGAAAACTGAAGGTACAAAACTGAGTTGTTTCTGTATACATAATGGATACCTTAAAGTTGTAGGCATGGTTTTACTCATAGCGTGAATGGTTCTTACAATGCACCACCAATTCCCTGTGTAAATATTAATGTCTGCTCATGTGTTTTAAGTGAAATGAAGTTTTGTAAAACAAATAAAAAGATAACTGAGATGTTTAATGTCCAGGCAGAGAAATGGCTGAAGGAACAGGCTCAGAAGGAAGGCTGGGCAAAAGCCACCAAACTACAGGACAGACAGACGGCACAGGGGCTGGTGGGCGTGGCTCAGGAGGGGACCATGGCAACCATGGTGGAGGTTAGTTAAAATAGAAACAGGCTTGTTAGTAAGCTACTAGGGTGTGAACAGTCAAGTGTCTTCTTCAATGACATCATTCTAATTGGAGAACTTGTAGTCATAGATTGAAAGCTGAGGAGATTTTTAGGGTACATGTATGTTATTATGTATGCAAATGTCAGCCACAAATCCACTTTTGAAGACAGGACAAGATTGGACAAAATGTGTATCTTAAAGAATGCCTGAATACTCGAAATTCCACCAATGATTATAAAATCACCATCCAATCCCATACTTCATGTATACATGTGGTCTATACCTTGTGCAATTGTTGTGCAACAAAGTTTATTACATGCTACAGCCTTACTGAAGAACCTGTTGCCCCCCTCCCCCCCTCCAGGTGAACTGTGAGACAGACTTTGTGGCCAGAAATCCCAAGTTCCACCAGCTGGTGACTCAAGTTGCCATGGCAACACTCAGTGATGTCAAGGCTCACCCTCAGTGGACCCTGGGTTGGTTAAAGGTGAGGAAATACTTTCATTATGTTTATCTTCATAGAAGGAAACATATTGTTTTTGCTCTGGTTCTTCTTCTGTGGAAACTCACAAGGTCAATGACCTGATCCAGATGGCTGTCACCATGGTAACTGGTGCTGTAGCACATACCCTGTGGTGTTGAATTACATTATGTAGCAAGTTGCAAGACAGAGTTGGATTAGTGTCACCCTATACATGAATTTGAGTAAGGATAAACAGAGCAGTAGCTTGTTAGGCTATGTACACCATGTGAAAGTTAACATTATGCATTTGCAAATGTAATCATTCTAGATGTATGAGTATTTAATGAATAATTAAACGACCATGCAGACAGACAAAGGAAATACATGTTGGAGGTTTAGAACATACAGCTGAGGGGAAAGTGTACACCTAAGTACATTGCTATACATGTGTATACACAATTTCAGGGAGTGAATACAGATTCAAGTCTTCCTCCCTACCCCTTTGTTTTCATATTATTAGTAACCTCTAGACTTTCTTGAGAACCCTGACCTCTTCCCTCATGACCACAGTGAAAAGCAGCCAGTAGGCTGTATATCATGAATAAACAAAGTCTCAGACAAAGGAAATTCAGTACAAACACGTGCATAAAGTTTTCCAGCCAGTTTCTGACCTTATGTTTCCCATGATGCCGCAGGCCCTGCACACGGGTGAGGAGCTGCGGCAGCTGCGGGTGGGCGACGCGACCTTAGGTGACCTCACGGCCCTCACCATCGGCAGTCTGGGGGAGAACATCCAGATTCGTCGCGCCATGTACTACTCCGTCCCCCCCATCCCGACCAAACACATCGGCGTCTACGTACACGCTCCCGTTGCCCGGACAACAACAACCAGCAGCCAATCAGCAGAAAGCTGCCAGCTCGGGAAGTACGGGGCGCTTGTCGCGTTTCGGCGGCGGAACACGGAGTTCCAGAACTTTAATGCCGCAGAGCTCGGGCGGCGGTTAGGACAGCACGTGGTCGGGATGAACCCACTAACCGTCGGAGAGATGCCAGAAATTTGGCAGGAAGAGAAGAGTAGTGATGGGGATAATCGGGAGGAGGAGGGGAGTAGTACAGACAGTGATGAGAATGAGACACAGATGCTGAGGCAGACGTTCCTCCTGGACCCGACCATGTCAGTCGGGGAGCTGGTCAGGCAGCAGGGCATAGAGCTGCTGGACTTTGTCAGGTTTGAGTGTGGAGAGGTGGAAGAGTCATAGGATCAGGCAGACATTAGAAATACGTAGGATGTACAGATGGGCCACAAAAATGTGCATTTATAGATAACCACAGATCTGATGTATAAGTGAAAAAGAAGTAATGTACTACTAGTACTAGCTTGTTTTAACAAATGAGTTTTGTAACTATTTCTGTACTGGCAGCTTTATTTTCAGCAACTTGCTACCTGAAATATGTAAACATTGTCACTTACTGTCTTACTGACAGTCTTGTTTGATTCTGTTATAATCTAGGACAAAAAGCTGGGCAGAAATCACTGTAATCATAACCTGCTTGCTGTAATGAAGAAGCATGTATCATAAACCTAAAGTCTGTTGTCTTCTTTTCCCCAGTCTGTTTCCTCACACATCAACAGGTACTGAAAGTTCTGCTCACAATTGCAAAATGTAAAAAGACAAGTACAAACATAAGAGATCTTTTTCTCCCATTTTTATTGACAACATAAAGTCACAAATACAACATGTACATTTACATCACATGGACATGTTTCTGAAACGGACCTGAGGTCTAATCTCATGTTCTAAACAAAACTGTTTTGTGTCAACATTTAGTTATTTTACCGGAACTTAAGATTAAATAAATTTGATGTCCTGGTACATTCGGTGGGAGCCTGTCGGTGGCTCTCAATCAATAATTTTATTCTGTTTGCCAAACCACAGAAAAAGGGGACCATGTAAAATGCTTATTAATATCATTATGGACATGCTGGAGAGTTCCAATGTTTTACATGACGGAATGCTCTACGTGTTTTAACATGAGTGTCAGCAACAGTAACAGTGGAATGTCTACAAACGGTACCAAAATCCTGGGTTGTTCCTCGTACCAATTATTCTGCTCCTGGGGAAAACTAAAAGCAAGTGAATGTGAATGTTACTGTAGCCTGATTAAATCGCTTTACGGTTGCCGCAGTTCAACCTCTTGCAGGTGTTTCTGCCAGCTTTTATCATTATATACACACTGCCCCAGATTTGAACACACTATACTGTATTAATGTCACTCTTTTGTGAATCAAAACATCCAGCCTCTGCGGGGAGGGGCCACTAAAGCCGCGGATGGCAGAGTTTGCATTACAGTTTCTACACAGACCAAAGAGGTTTAAAATGTATTTAAGTTAACCTTCTTGCACGGACTAAATGTTACTGAGTGTGAGAAACATTTTGTGTCAACAAAAGTAAGGCAAGAAATATTTTTTTATCAGCTTGAACTAATAATTGAGGCAAATTTGTATGATTAGGGTCTAAATACATCAGTGATTCACATTTCTGTAACTACTCTGTAGCTGTACTTGGAACCAGCGGCTTACACCAGATTGCACTTTCAAATGTGGTAGATACTACACAGTCTGATAAGTATTAAAATACTAGAAGATTTCCACAGGTTTAATAATGTAAACTTAGACAATAGTATGACACTAAGTCACCCCAGCCAAATTCCTCCCTTGGATTGTATCATCGGGAATAGCCATCAGCCATTGTTCCACTGACGTTCTGTCAAAAGTTGGAATGATTTAAAAGGGATTAAGAAACATGATCAACCAAGCCAGAAAGTTTGCAGGCTATTGTTCAGTAACAGTTCGCAATAATATGTTGCTGTATTTTGATGCAAATACAATAAAACAAATGGCTCTCCTGGTCAGTAATTCCTGGTCAAAAGTAGGTTATATTATGATGTAGCCTTAAAGGAGTACTAACCTCCAGAAGGAGGTGCTATATTTCGACAGGCATTTATTTTTGGAAGTGAAAAATGCATATTATTTTACAGTATACAATTAAATACCCATTTTGCGCGCAAGTCTTAAAACGCATCGAATCCAGGACAAACTCTCCAAATACCCTCAAAACTATCCCAGAATACACCACGCTACCCCATTGGCGTCTATGTTTTAAACAAAAAGTTACGTTACAGACCTCATTTCGGGGGCGATAAGAAAAATTCGTACCGTTTTGTGTTCTTTGGTATCTTACCAACCATTGTCCTTCTTGGTGTCCTTATCGCCCCTCATTTATGCCGCAAATATTGACGATGAAAAAAGCGGCGTAATCTAGTTATCCTTTCCATAAGTGGCGTAATCTAATTATCTGTTCAAGTAATACTTACATGCAAATAAGTTGAGAAAATCAAAACACGCAGGATGAAACTAGCTCCCACTGTATTCGACATCCTGATATTGTAATATCCAAGCCACAGGTCAAGCAAAGTAAAGCAAGTAATTTCTCAATAATCAGCTTGTTAGTGTGCTTGTCTCCTACCATTTTCGCCGAAAAATGTTTATGTTGACCTGAAGTGTATGAGTATTGCGTAAGCCAGAGTTCCCGGATGTATCAATTGTGGTTCAGCATGGGGGAAAATGATATTAATATCACTTTACAAACATGCGCCGCGCAAGTCATACAAGCGAAATTATGTAAAAAGTTGGCTAGTTATGCATTCATTGCAGCATGATGTATCGGAAAACAGCACTTTCTTCTGGAGGTTAGTACTCCTTTAAAGCATGGATGAATTTTAAAAGTGGCATCTGCCCAATCAAAATGCAGCAGTCATTCTTTCAGCCAATCAGCAATGATCTGTCCACAGCCAATCGGCAAGCATGTTCCAAACATTGATAAATTTTAAACACAATAACTTACATGTGTGCTTGTCCTTCCCAGAATATACTGAACCCCAATACATTACCTACTTGGTAAACTGACATATCTTACATTTGCTAATTGAAAAAGGACAATTGAAGTACATTGTACTTCCAACAACATATTAAATTATAATGTACCAATGTAGTACCTAACAGTGTTCAAAACTAAGTACCATCTGAATGTCCTTATGTTACAATACATGGTCCCTACAACCTATAGTTGCACTTTTGTCACTTTGGTTAGGCCACAAAAACTTTATGAAATGGATGACATCCTTCCACATTTCGAAATATATATATAGTCAGCAATGGGTGCAACTTGTGATTTGTAATTATTGGCATGTGCCAACCCTTTGTAAACTGGTAACATGTTTTTCTGAGAATGTACTCTTTGTCATGAAGCAGTTAGAAAATGACCATTCAAATTTCTTGCAAAACATCCATGATTATAAATTGAACTAACTTTACTTTTTATTTCAACCTGCCACCAGATTTGGGTTTCCAGTAGTCTCTACCAGACCCCCATGTTGCAAGAAAATAATTTTCTGGCAACCCATTAGAATTTGGTAGAGACTAGGTAAAAAAAGTTGATTTGACCAAACACACTGAATAATTGGCCGGAAGAGTTAGCCAACCTGGCTATAGGAATAGACTTTGCATCCATGGATCCAAAGCAGGCTGCTAAAGCTGGCTAACTCCTCTTGCATACCTTGCATTGTCTATTTGGAGAAATCAACCATTTTCTGGCAACCCATCTGAGTCTGGTAGAGGCTAGTTTTTAAGAGGATGTCATCCATGGGATAAAGTCAGTGTGGCCTGTCTAATTACATTCATGATCAACAGCCAGCCAGGATGGCTCCCATCCCAGACACGGTAACTAGGCAACAGGGTATCCTAGCAACAGAGTTGTCTGTCTGCTGCCCTACACATGTCTGTCTCCACTAGGCCTTCCTCAGGGGTTGTCCATAGTAGAATTTCTCAAAAACTATTGAGCAGGGGAATAAGAGGAACATTTCTCCAGAAGTAACTGCATTAGCTTCTACCAGGCTTCGGGAGGCGGCTGGAAAGAGTAAAAATTGGCCAAATAGAGAGATAACATGCTGAGGGAGTTGGTCCACATGTACACTTTGCTGCACCCAAACTGTACTCTCTAGCAGACCAACTCCCCCGGCATGTTATCTCTCTCTGTTTGTCTAATTTCTGCTTTTTACAGCCGCCTCCTGAAGCAAGGTAGAAGCTAACTGTGTGGCCAAATGAACTCTACGATAGCCAAACTGTTTTGCCTATTTGGTTAAATTCTACTATGTTTCATCCCCTGTTTTAAGTCCTGGTGGAGCCTGACACCTGTAGCTAGTCCTGTGAGCTGGTGTTCACCGAGGCGGCAGGTTTGTCCAGGAAACTGTTCACCACAGAGGAGGAACCGGTGGCCATCGGCATCTGGGACTGGGGAGGGAGGGAAAAATTAATGTTACAACAGTGATGTTATGTAGTATAAGTAGAGTGGAATCATTCCGAGATGTTGGTCAGCTGTGGAATGATTCCACTCTACTCATAAGAGCAATGTTATGTGCTAGGGTTTCACCCAATTAGTAAAGTTCTATTTGCCTTGTATTTTATACATTGTACAGCACAAATCAGCAAGGAGGAGCTTCAAATTCAGAAATTTGTTAAGAAAAGTTACTGTATCTTCAGTCTGGTAAGAACTGCCAACTTACTTGAGGAATTTGTCTTACTAGAATTGGCAAAAACATTTCTACCTGTCCTGGTAACTTGTGATCTTAGAACTAACGTTAACTACATGTATGACCCTGTATATTGTGTACTTTCAAACTAACCAAACCTATGATGATGATAAACTTTTAAGGCATTATCACCATTGCTGAGAATACAATTACAAATGATTATCATAGGCTTGTTATGCCTATAGATACTGTTAACAACATTTGAGCGTTGTTAAGGCTTGCCATTAGTCACTGACAACTGATGTACAGCAACTTGTAATTAGTAGAAACATTCATATGTCATATGCAGAGCAAGGAATCATAAGTAAACATATGCAGAGCAAGTGATAATAGTTTATAAAATGCAGAGCGAGCGATAATAAGTGTGTTCCTACTGGATGTGAGCTGCGCCCAGCCTTAGGGTTTGTACTGTTCATTTCTAACCTCGTCAATCATCTGCAAACAACACACATGTGCAGGGTCAGCAGTGCATGGTGGGAGCACATGCAACCTCAATAATAAGTCATTTCACAATTTCAACTGTGCATGCAAGTGGGTAATATGTCAAATTTGCAGGCCTCTGAGACATAAACAGTGCAATCGTGCATCAAAGGTGAATGCAACCTCAATAACAGGCCAGTTCACGGTTTCAACTGTGCATACACAATGTGATGCACATGCAACCTCAATAATAAGTCGTTTCACAATTTCAACTGGGCATGCAAGTGGGTAATATGTCAAATTTGCAGGCCTCTGAGACATAAACAGTGCAATCGTGCATCAAAGCTGAATGCAACCTCAATAATAGGCCGATTTACAGTTTGAACTGTGCATACACAATGTGATGCACATGCAACCTCAATAATAAGTCGTTTCACAATTTCAACTGGGCATGCAAGTGGGTAATATTTCAAAGTTGCAGGCCTCTTGAGACATAAAAAATGCAGTCGTGCATCAAAGGTGCATGTAACCTCAATAATAGGCCGGTTCACGGTTTCAACTGTGCATACATAGCGTGATGCACATGCAACGTAACCACAATAATAAGTAATTTCACACTTTGAACTGGGCATGTACATTGTGATCATTAGTGGGTAATATGTCAAAGTTGCAGGTCTCTGAGACATACTATTATAGTAAACATGTCTGAACATGGGATCAAGCATTGTCTTGTCAGAACTGTTTACCACAAGTTATGGACTTTTAGCATTGACCTTGTGAATGCTCAGTTCAAACTGTGAGTCAGCTTATTAGCATAAAAGCTCATGTGCAGACTCCCAGGGGAACTTTGACCCACTACAGGAGTCACATGTTTGTAAGGTCATGTGACTGAAGTGATGGGTCATTCATCCTGAGTAGAGCCGCATCCTGGCCGTATGTCTGAATTTTGGTGAAATTGTGCGGATATGCAGTGCTACATGTACCAAGTGCACAGCCACAAACCACCCATGTTAAACTTCTCGAAGAATCTGTAAGTCAAGACATTAATATCCATAATGTTACTGTGTATTTAATGACAACAGCAAGAGAGTGACTTCTGGTACAACTTCATATAAAGCTGGTAACATTTACAATAAGTGGTACCAAACAAAGCCCTGACATTAGTGCTAACTACCATCAGCATCTGATAAAAACGTACTGAGAGGCTCCCTTCTACCAGGAATTACAGATTCTGAAGATTAAATCATTCTTCTTGCTGATACTTCCTGTATCTCTCACCGATACTCACTTTAATTAAGATGCCTTTTAATTTCTCATATGCAACATCCAAGTCATCATTGGTGATGATGTGCTGAAAATTTCCTGGCTTTAGACCTGGAAAGACAAGAGTACAAATGTAAGTGATTGTTAGCATCCGTTTTTTCCCAAAATGAGGTTGTGATGACTGGTTTCCATAGTGACAGTAGCCTGGGTGCCATCCAATTTGTAACAGGGCTCCTTTGCTACTCTAAGCAAGTGCAAAGAAGCCCCATTACAAATCGGATGGCACGCAGGCTAAAGCCTGAGCTCCTATAGGACTGATTTTGAATGATAAAGAACCCTGAGCTCCTATTGTATTAAATTTGGTAGATCTAGGAACAGGACTGGTTCTCTTGAGTTAGAGGTGTGTGGCCAAAAGCTCTTGGGGAGGAGGCTCAATCATCACCTGACAGTAAGAGCTTGTATCTGTATCTGTATAGCCGGTATAACAGCCCATTTGCGTAACACACCAGCTTTGCAGTCACACGGCGAATGACTTGTTAAACCTAACCCTTGAAGTTGAACATCTAACTCTAAACATTGTTTGAAGCTATCTATTGTGTAACACTAGTAACAGCTCACCATACTCCAGTTCATTCCTGGCTGCAGACAGTCTCTTCTGGAGTGCCTCTTCAGTCTCCGTTTTCCTGCTTCTCAGACGCTTCTCCTAAAGGGCAAAGAAGAAAGCAGAAGAGTGTGGTTGTCAATTTTATGCTGGCAAGGAGATAGAACAAATATACCAAGTAGACATATATGATAGCCTAATGTGTCAGCAAAGAGATCACCTTGGTAGAAGTGTCACAAATTGTGACAACTGGAAATATTGTTAAAATATTCTTCAACTAATTCTGAAACAGACACAACTGAGGGTCTTTCAACCACTGTTCTTCTGTTGTTTCCTGTGTCATTTTCTGTTTCAGTTTTCTTGTTTTCTATCAAGTTTCTCTCTGTTTATCCACTTCCTTAATGGCAAGGCAAGTCATCTGATGAGCTCGAGGTAGACTACTAGTATATCATTTTCTTTGCTATGAAATACTGACCAGTACATCTATACTGGGAGGTTTGATGACTTACCAGTACATCTATACTGGGAGGTTTGATGACTTACCAGTACATCTATACTGGGAGGTTTGATGACTTACCAGTACATCTATACTGGGAGGTTTGATGAAGATGTAGACAGCATCCAGACTGGCCTTCTTGACATTACGGACCCCCTGTGTGTCGATGTCCAGGATGGGGATCACGTTGTTGCCCTGCACCTCCTCAAGGGCCTTCTTACTGCAGGGGGAAACAGTGCTTAAGGTCACACCAATCTTTGAGATGTTTCTCGGTATCATCATCAGTTGACAAAGTTTGGGTAAAAATCTCAAAGGGCTTTCATGATTTTACACTCAGAGAGAAAGAGAGAGCTCTAAACATGATACATCCTACAGTGATGACTGTTTGATAAAAGACTTACAAGAAACAACACTAAATACATTGTATAACCAGTATACTGACTTAGTCTTCAAAATGTTATATTTAACCTTTAGCACATTGAAGTGGTTGTTTAGCTGCCAAAATTTCTCTATTGGTTACAGGGTTAGGTAGCAGGGAGAAGATCAAGAATAGTCACTGTCATCTCTGTGTGGTCAGACCAACCTTGTTCCGTAGATGTTCCCGGAGAACTCGGCCCATTCCAGGAAGTCCCCCTGCTTGATGTTTTCCAGGAACTGGTCCCTATTGATGAAGTGGTACTCTGGAAAACACATCACATACATGTATGTCACACAGCCTTTATCCTTTTAAACCTCAAATACTTGTACAATAATCTACAGTCAAACATTTGTCTTATATATGTTATTGTGTAATTTCTTTTACCTCTTCCATTCAGCTCTCCTGGTCGAGGTTGTCTTGTAGTGTCTGCAGGGAAAACAGAAAACTTGAAGGTTGTGTGTCTTTTATTGTCATTTATTGGACTTGTATAGTACATGTATATAAATCCACAGCCATAATCTAGCCTCATAGTCCATTAACCATAGCCCGGATTGGGCTTCTGTAAGTAGTGTAGCTGTGATACTCCAAATTTCTAATTCAAATTTAGCCGTGAAGGTTGTTAAAACATCACAATACAATAATTATAGTTTCTTCTGGTGGCAGTCCATTTTGCAGTAAAGAAATGTTATCATGATATCTGGTACTAATCTCTAAGCAGATCATACAGTGGCATTAGGCAGTGTCCATTGGTCAGAGGAGTGTCCATTGGCCACATGAAGTGGCCAATAGATACTGCCCGGCCAATTTGATACTGTCTTTTGCGGCCACCAAAACATCTGCTTGGAGATTAGTCTGTTACCCACGTGAAACGCTGAGCTGGAAGGCTCCTGGGAACTCCTTGAGGAGTTTGTTGTAGAGGGTGGACTTGCCGCTGCCGGACGGGCCGCAGATCACCACAGGTCGGGGCAGCGCCATGCCACTCACGCTCACGTAACGCCGCAGGGTTAGACTCACTGGAACAAACACAAATCAAAAATTGAATCCAATAGCTATTACTACTCGCATCTGTGTGTGTACAGATGACCACAGGTCGGGGAAGCGCCATGCCACTCACGCTAACGTACCGCCGCAGGGATAGACTCACTGGAACACAGTTAGGAGGATTAAATCTTAAATCACTAGTTTACTACCACCTTGTAGAACTGAGACCTTTCTGCGCTGTCCAGGACACTTGAGCCATTACAACAGGTGAAACCTGCTCCACAAACATGTTACCAGCCCTGCACAATCACTCTGGCACTTGTTACATTCTACTTTGTCAGTTTGATCAGTTCTGCTTCTTATCACACAAATAGGCAGCCTGAAACTGAAAGTTAATGACAAATTTGATTGCCATAAAAACTGTGAGATTCTGCAAAATTCCTGGCTCACTTCCACAAACACAGTACTTTTGCTTGACTGCTAGGAAAGTCTAAAAGTAAAAGGCATGCAATACTGGCATTGCAATTGGAAACTTTCCAACAACACTTAGTTCTAAAGGGATGTACAAGATTTCCATAAAAAAATATAACACAACGCTCCATATATTACAGGTTACTATACAAAATGTATGATTGTACATATATGTATGTGGAGACCCGTATAGGTTTGACATTGCAAAGAACAATATTGACCTTGGAACCAAAGACTTCCTCCCTGAAGGCAAATCCCGAGATTTTAAACGACTTCTTCTATTGATTCTCAGGAGTCATTAAGTGCTCCATCCATTATATTTAGCCTAAGAGGCCGTCCAGCTGAGAGCAGAGCTTTGGGAGAGAATAACAACCATTAACAGATCATCTCTCATTATTGTCACATGGAGGAACACTCAAGGCAAAGGTTATTTTCCACACGTGTCAAAGTCGTTCAATGTCAACAGGCTGAGAGTGAGAAGGTTCTTTACAGGGCAGGTCTGAGCAAATAAATTGTTTGCAATCATTATTTGCTTGCCAATAATCAAACATGTTAACACAGGTATGATAGGCCTTTAGGTTTTACCATTATTGGTCTCTTCTTCTCATTTTGGTCTTTAAGTTTAACAGTTTTTCCTTTCTTACATTACCACACTATGAGTCAGAGTATTATTTTTTAGATCATTATCAATGTCATCTCTAGTTCTTGTCTCCTGATCTGGATGCATTCATCATTTAACTCTTGGCACTAATACAGATGCATTTCACCCTTGACTACACTATGGAAAGTATGGCTATATGCTGTTATGGCTCCTCATCATGGCCCACTTCAACTCAACTTTCAAGCAGACTGTACTGATTATGCCATGGCACAAGTCGTGATCAAAGATGGCATTAAAAGCACACATGTCTGCCACACATCTCTCTCTCTCAGACTCTCTCTCTCTATCCGGTTTATCGTCTGTTGTTCCCCGTAACGAGGGTTAGACATGCTTGCACACTGATGCTGGGACTAGATGGTAGCTCATCATTTGCCTCTGTCCTGTGGTTCTTGTGCACAGCAAATGTCAATACCCCTGTGGGTTTAAAGACTCAGCAACTTCACCAGCCAGCCATGTGATGTCTAACGTAGGTATTGATCCTGTTCTGTCTGCAGACATGTCCTGTAGGTCAGGTCCAGCCCAGCTGTAGGTTTCTCATGACACTCGATCCTTACCCTGACAACTGTCTGTTCTACTGAAGTATGTAAACCTTGACATGTCTGGAACATGTCTGATTACTAGTATTGATTAAAAGTAAACACCTATCTGTAACAGTCACACATTGCCTATACAGAAAAATGGGATATTTCCTATTAAGTAATGCGTTTTTCTTCAAAGCCACATAATATATAACATTTGGAATGTTTCAAATTGTGGGTTTTCTCAAATTTTTTCTTTGAAACTGGACCTCACTGATGGTTGCTGTGTGGTGCACTGTGTTATTTCTAAAGTTGTGAAAATCATGCTCAGACTACAGTCTCTTTCAATGCTACATATATGTATTGTCTGTTACAGCTTTATCCATAGCAAAGTCATTAACATGACCATTCTTTCGGGAAACAGACCAAAAGTAAGTCCCTTTGCTTTTCAAGAAAGCCAACAGAATAGAAAGAAGTAATATAAAAAAAGATCAAATTTGACACGTCTATCAAAATTGCAACCATCCATATCATAACTTCTGTTACTACTTCATTATACATGTACAAGGTACTGAAATGCCATCCATTGAATTGTAACACACTTGCAATGTCAGTAGCAGTTGGTGCTGTGTGTCAACTACTGCTGACTTCTACACAGACTACTCAAACACACAATCAAACACTGTATTCACCACTGACTAACAAAAGTTGACTTAGCCACTACTTGTTATGCCTGTTCCAGCTGACACAAAGTGATCAGTTCATTTAGTGCACAATAGGCACAGATGTGGACTCCATTATACATGAATAACTTCCTCAATGTGGCTGTCACTAACCATGCATATAACAACAACACTAATGCCAATGTAATGGTGAATTTGTAGTCTAACAACGATACAGTCGTAAGGAAAGACAACAAACAAAATGCAAGCCCACAACCTATCAAAATGGACACTTGTGCTGAATACAGAACAGCAATTAAACCTGGAAATAGGTCACATCACTATAGCTAGCATTGTACTTGTGCTAAACATGGATATGAAAAATTGAGTTCCAGTTTCAGTTTCAGTCTAACATACAGACAAACGTAACACATATCTTGTTTAGTCAGCTTCTATATGTACAGAGTATGTTTTACTGTCTGATCATGATCTGTAGTTGTAAGTAATACAATTGTACCTTTAAGTACACAACTACAGTGTATACAATTTATTACAAAAGAAAATCAAAAGCAATGTGCAAATCACTAAATCAAAGGCACAGAGCCTTGTGAACAATTTACCAGTTGCATTCCATGCCTTCAGCATTCAATCTCTCAGTAAAGGAAATAAACACCATTCATTTCTATGATACGATAGTTGAGGGAAAAACAAGAGTTTTGAACATCTCAATCCTCATACCTGCCCACATACAGTAGTACTGTACATATCTGCCTGCTTCTTGCCCAACATTCCTGTTCAACCTTTCTGGTTGCCAGACAACCCTGGCTGGAAATGCTTCTACCCTCTTCAGATACTCCTAAATATCATCTCCCTTTGAGATTTTAAAAACAGTCAAAAGAGTCTAAAGAGACAACACTGAACAGCTCTGACAAACTCACCTGTGAAATGAAGAACGCAGGTTACGTTTTTCCTGCACTTTCTGTACCAGCCTTGTGCACCTGACTGTGTGTCAGTCTACAGTACATCCACCTTTATGTAGTCTGTTATTAGAGGGATGATGCTAATAAATGGACTATACCATTTTTACACAAGGGGGAGGCGAGGGTCTGCTTATCTTCTGTTTCATATGATTATTACAGTAAGAGCTTTTAAAATGTTACTATTTTGAAGCCTAGAATATAGTTAAAAGGTGTTACATAGTCGTACAGATCCAAATGTTGAACAGAAGTTGTGTCTCAATATTTCATAGATCTCCTTTGTACATCTTACAATATTAATGGGTTACTCTAATTGGAAATTCCCCATTACATCAAGTACCCGGTACATGTTGTATAAGGAAGGGCTCTGACAGCCAATCCTATTCAGCCAATTACTGTCTGTTGGTAGTCAAAGCTAGACATGTGAAGCTACATGTAGCAGTCTTGTCAGAAAATCAGTGTAGACCAACAAATGTACAGAAAGCAATAAATACTGAACAAAAGCCAATCTTTTTTCCTGGACTAGTGAACAGACTAGGAAGAACCAACATGACAGCACACATAATTATGTGTCTGCCTAAATTTTTGAAAATAAAGATTTGAATATCCAGAGGGATTTTACTTCTCAACAGTCTTGATGTAAGAAATGTACAGAAAACAATAATAAAGTTTGAACAAAAGACAATCTTTTTTCCTGGACTAGTGAATTCAAACAGACTAGGAAGAACCAACATGACAGCACACATAATATGTGTCTGCCTAAATTTTTGAAAATAAAGATTATATCCAGAGGGATCTTACTTCTCATCAATTTGAATACTTAAGTACATGTATATATATATACATTGATAATAAGTGAATACTATAGTATGATATCGTTGAAGAGGTTCATCAGTCACATAGAATTAACAGTTAGTAGAAATTCTTCGATCAGTGACTGTATTTTTGTAAGGTAGATTTCATACATGTGTACCTCCAAATTTTCGGTGTTCTCGCGAGACTAGGCCATTCCGTGATCAAGGTGTACAGTCAACAATGAAAATTTGGAGGTACGTAATCTACCTTACAAAAATGAATTTCTACTAACTATATAGCATGATAGGATTTGTATACATACCTTGATGTTAGTGATAAACTTTGATGAAGCATGAATGGGAAAAATGCATTGAAATAGCCTGTAAGTTATTATACATAAGAAGATTAGCTAAAGGACCCTGAACTCCTGTTCCAGCCTGACTAATGACTGTAAGAGTAACACCGGTGTGACTATAACACACACCACAGGGACTTCATTAGTCCATTAGTGCTGCATATAGAATAACCCACCTGAGCTCAGGGATTGCAGCTTAACTTGAAAGTCAAACCAAGGACAGCAGAGTCTCTACTATAGATACAAGTTGAAGTTACTTCCAGTAATGATTATGACAGAAAAATGTAGCCACACAAAGAATTCTTCTGCCTTTTTGGTGCCATGTGGCAGTAAACCATTAGAAATCAATAATTTAGCAATCAGATACTACTAGCTGTATGGAATGTTCAACAGGCAGTGTTCTAGATTTTGATTAGGATGATATGTTAGAGTTACTAGACTATCACATAAAAAGCATGTTACTGTTTTTGCACTTAAGCAACAACTGACTGCGGGCAGGGATTTTACATTTTGTAGATACTGTAATTGTTAGCTCTGGAATCTATATACTCGACCAAACAAACCTGTCCCAAGGTTGGACAAACATTTATAATGTAGAGTTTAAAATGCAGCTCACTACAATGTCATGTATTACATGCTCTAATTTCCCTAAATCTCAAGAACCGTACAAAATGGGCCTACTGTACATGTACAAATAAAAAGCTGAAATATTAATTTTACCGTAGTTAAGGTGTGTTCCCTGTGGCTACATGTAGCGTCAGCTAGGGTAATTAGTGACATCATGTTTACGTCATGTGGAACTGGTACTGCAAGTTAAATACCGTAAATCAAGAAATATTCGCTGTGGTTTATGTTTGTGGTTTTACAGATCGTGATCTCCCAGCAAACTTGTGCTGTTTTGTATTTCTACAGCTCTTTTAATATTGAACTTGAAGCACAAATGCGCACTTCCCACCTTAAGCAAAATTAAGTCCTAGCAAAAATACTTAGAGTTACAGTACAAGTAACGTTATGTTGTCTTTTGTATACGCTTACAGTGCTTTAACTTTAAGAGGTGAAACCTTAAGAAATGGGAATATTGTGTACATAGTAGAGGAAGATACATAATATACATTTGAGTGGCCCCTTAAGGAAGTAACCCCCTTAAGTTTAAGGTACCCCCTTAAATCTACACATGGCCATGGATAAAATTTTACAAGAAACCAATTTTTTCCGACACTCCATAAAACTCTTAGCAAATAATTCTTCTGCAATATAATATAACCAACTTTCCAAACCATCCCCACACTTAACAGTCTGATTGTTTAGATGGTGTAGGGTTACACCAACGTTTAAACTTTGAACCGAACATTTAAATTTCGGTTGTACCATTTCCGTTGCTAGGTTTGTACACCTTTCTTCCAACCGATTTTGTGGCTTGATTTTGAATCGGGTGGCCAAGTTGGGTTCTCTAGACCATCAGACTATTTTTAGAAACATAACCTTGACCGTGAAGAGTTGAAAAGGTGTGTAAAAGTCACCTGTTCTCACCTGTGGATCTCACCTGGCCCGAGAGACCCCGCCACAACACAAACATTCCTTGACCTGCCGCTGACCTGCTGAACCTGAAATTAGTCCGCCGACGTGAGGCGTCCGGAAAGTAGTGCGTATCTTCAAGACGTCTTACGAGAAAATTATAAGCGTCTTCTGAGATTTTACTGTCGCTGCGTTATTATTCAAGAAATATGAACTAAATTTTAACGTCAAGCTTCGACGCACATGGCCGGAGGAAGTGATGCAAGGTCACTATTACCCATATTCACTCGCGACAGGGTTATAAATGGAGTTTTTGACAATCCTTGATTCAGGTTAACCATGATTTATACCATAGGAAATGCAATCTTTCGTCAAGAAATGACGTAAATATTACCGAAAATTGTATTATTATTTTTCTGGTGTTCCTCTTTCAAAAGATTGGCATAGAAGCTAGTTTTGAATAAAATCCATGCTCTTGAAAAACTCCAGTCATACCCTAAAATTGAGCAAGCGCAAACTGTAGTGCAGAAACTTGAGAAAGGGAGTATTTTTGCGGGAAAGTTGAGCTTTGATCGCCGTTTTCCTGTCAATATAACCTCCTTACTGCAACCCCGATCGGATGTCTATCTTCTTAGGTCCTCCATGTCAAGTTTTCATAGCTGTCAAGAAAACTGGACGTAACCAAGGCTATTTTGTTTGGATTTACTACCGACTACAGGATCTTAAAGGTGGGAGGGGGGCGCCTGTGTGACGAAACCGTCACCTGATTTTATTATTACCAGCCATTTCACGGCTTTTCCGTCAGACTGATACAAAATCAGACGACAGTTATGGCTACAGCACAGCCACCGGTAGCGGAGAACCTTCCCGCCCCGGCTCCTGTTAGCCAGGCGGGCTCGGGAACGGCGGCGGGTGGGGGACAGGCGGCCGGCGGGACGGAGAGCCCAGCCCCGGGAGCGGCCTCGGGAGGGCCGCCCGCTCAGGTCAGCTTCGTGTGCCAGAGATGCGGGCAGCCGCTCAGGTGGGTGTGCGACCTGCTAGTGTGATCAGGAATTAACTACAGTGTAAAATACTAAGTCTCAAATTTTAAGAATTATCATCATTCATTTGTAATCAAAACAACCTGTGTTGTTATTGTTTATTATCTCCAAGCAGATCCTTTGGTAGCAAAATCGTAAGAAACCAGATAATTTATACGCCAAAAAGCAGTTATTCAAGCAACTGGATATGATTTTGAAAATCATATCCAGAACTTTGCTTGAGTAACTGCTTTTTGGTGTATCGTATTACCTGGATGCCTAACCTTCATTGACTGTGAATGACAGATAATTTATACACTATCCAGTTGACCAGGCAGTGAACAGGATCAGCTTGGAGATCTGAACATCCCCTCGGATGGGACATAAAGCTGGAGGTCCTGGGTTTTGAACCAAGCACACTTAAGGGACTGTACGATATTTACCGGGGGGGAGGGGG